CATGTGATTTTCAGTTATGTACCTGGAACACTGAGCACCTGCCTGTCTGGACAGCAGCATCTTTTAAGGTATTATTATCACAGACGTATTTGTGGTACCACAAATTTCAGTTTCCTACTCTTCATAGTGTGCCCATATGTGCAGAGCCTAACTCAAATTCCTTGGTTTTGCTGCCCCCCAAACCACGCCCAAGCCAAAGTCCTGCTAGGACAAGTCTCACAGTTTTGTAACGCAGAATGAATGCCAATGCCTAGAAGCACCCCTCAAATTAAATTTTCCAGCACAGATGTAGTAATTGAGGTCAGAGATGGCTGATGTTTGCTTAAATAGGTCCAGAATTCGTGCTGATAAGTGAGGTGGTGTTTTGGGGGCGTTGTTGACATGGTTGCTTCAAATGGAGCTTGATGTTCTGCACTGTTCAAGCTGAATTATCCACTGGTTTTGATTACTGCTCATAAAGAGTAGAGTTTATTAGCTTTGTAGCTGAATATACAAACAGCACAAGCTCACATGAAGCAACTTAGTTTGTCATAAATTAAGGCAATGAATTCCAAAGCTCTGAGTCAGAACCTGCATTGTTAGGGGACTAAAACTGGATTATTGATATTAAGAGCATAAAATTAAAATATGGTAGAAAATTACTGGGAAGAAATTTTTTTATTGATAATAGCTTAAAAAGATAATTTAATAATTAATTAGTTTATTACTAAATAAAAACGTAATAACTTGATGAGAGGGAAATTATTAAAATTCGTTTTTAGTTGTCAGAAACTGCAATTCCTCAACTAAAAAGAGGCTCAACTAACTAAAAAGAGGCTTCTCTTTTCAATTGTTTTGCAGTCTTAAAAGTTTACAAGTGACTTAGCTGACTTTGATAAAGAAGCAGACTTTTAAAAATTATTTTTCTGCCCTGATAGTGTAAATGAGAAATGCTTTTCAACATTTATACCTTCTGTATAAAAAATAATGGAGCAAATAATTTTTAAAGCATTTAAGTGTTTTTAAGTGTACTTCTCATTGTTGTTTCATGTTGTTGGCGGTATGTAAGCATTCCACTAAGGACCTTTAGGGACCTCAATTAAACAAAAATTGCTACATGCTGTTCAAATTGTAGTTTTACTACATGACTGAGTTACTAGGGTGTAGATTCAGTGCTGCATCACTGGCGTGAGGTACTAAAATCAGAACTGTTCTTTTTAAAAGTCTGGAACCATCCTTCCTAAACCAAAAGATTGAGCTCTCCCACCAAAGGCTCCACGATGTCCTTACAGAGGTTCTGCGTCACTTTTCAGAGTGCAAACGCTTTCTGGGTTGGAGGCAGTTAAATAATACACATGAGCTCCCTGGCTGCTCCTTGCCTAATTCTGAGAGTTTTGCTTTCTTTGCACTGTGACCCTCAGTGCAGACACGTTTCCTTGTGCTGAGCTCCCCTGTGCATTGCCTATCTAGGAGCAGTGGCAGGAACAGATTTTAGAATAGTGGTGTAATGGCTAGGCCAAGAAATGCCTAGGAAAAGAAATGTTTCAGGAAGTGGATTTGGATCTAAACATAGTGTGGGGATTTGACCCCAAAAATCCAAGCTCCTCCACAATTTGTCTCAACACAGAAGAGAAGTTTTCAGACAGGCACAACTCAGTATGGGGGAATTATTTCAAAATTTATTACTAACACAATAAATACTATAGAAACTAAAAAGCAAATAAATACACAGTATTAATACAATTTCTACCATCCCTGGACCCTCCCACATCAGTTCAGGAGAAGTTTTCAGGGCGATAGTTAAAGTCTCTCTCTTATTGGGGTATCAGGGAAGGGGCCTTTGAACCCCCACCAGTCCCTCAGCTTCTGCTGAGGTCTCCTCCTGGGCTACAAGGGAACACTTGCTTCACCAGGTCTTCATCACGAAGTCCAGGGAGTCAGCCTTTGTGTTCTTTCTCCCCGGTTTGTGAAGGTTCCTCCCAGAGAGTAAGATGTTCACTCTTTCCTCTCCAGGTTGCAGGTTTCTGAGTCTTGCTCAGTCTTTTTACCCCAAATAGTTTTCACCAAAAGTCCTCACCCAGAAAAAGACTGCTTGATTTGGCTTCTCTCTGTTGCAGCTGCTGCAGCTTCTCAGCTTCCACATGTCATGGGGAGGCATTCCTCCCCCCCGCATTCTTCTTTCAGTTTTCAGCTGACCTCGCCCAAACCTCGCGTAGGGCCTCCTCCGAGCCCCTCAGCCCGTCTCCCGTTTTGCTTCAGTCTCAGCTCAGGGTCAGTACCTCTCCCCCGCCATTATGCGGGGGAGAGGGTAGCAGCAAGACTGCTTCAGTCTCTCTCCTCTGCCCGGAGTTCTTCCAGCTCTGCACTATCACAGCTGCTTCTCCAGGCTCTGGACCACCCCTCGGTTCATTTCTGGTTCAGCTCCAATACCTCGCCTGCCTGCCGGGGCTGGCTAGCTCCAACTCTCTGACTGGCCTCTCAAGTCCATGCCACCACCTCTCCTGGACGGGGGGGGAAAAAGCCCCCTACCCTTTTGGCCACGGGCACCCAGTCCGGTTATAATACTGTCCCAAGCTCCCCGGCAGCCTGGCCGGTGGGGAAGAGGGCCTGGTCCCTCCGCAAGGGGCCTGCAGGCCTCCCTCCTCTCGCCTCATGGCTCCAAATCTCTCTCTCACACACTGCCAACAACTTCCTTCCGGCTGTTGTAATATCCTAATTTCACAGGGGCGAAAACCAGCTCTGATTGGTCCTTCATCAGAAACACACCTGGGACCAACCAATTCCAGCTCCCCCGGGGGCGGGGTGACGGCTCAAACCAAGACACATAGGTCTGGGCTGAGAGGGTATCAAAGGCTGTTCCTATGGAAGGGTTTGCCACACTGACATGTCCAGGTTCCTTCTAATTAGGAATTGGTTGACATTGTTTGTAAGACAAAAAATAGATATTCTGACCATATTTAATCTGATTTGCTTCGTTTCCTTTCATTGATTAAAATCTAGCCTCTCCTGTTCATTTGGTTTGGGGTATTCAGATTCACTTCCACTCTAATGCATTGCACTTCCTGACTGTGCATGGACAGTGGAGGGAATGGCTATCTTCCAGGAGAGTGTTTTATCAGAGGAGGGAGAGACCTTTGTGGTTAATAGTATGTCAGAGCTATGTTAGAAGTGCTGCGTTAGTGTGCAGCAGTGTACATGGATAGTAAATGTGTATTTTCTTCCATTCTGAAAATTAACTGGAATATAGTCTTAGCATTGTATGTTAATAATCTGAGCCTTGCTGTTGTTGTTGTGGAGTTGTTGTTGGTTTTTGCTTTTTCTTTTTCTCCTGAGAAACTGAACATCTAACATAGCCAATGTCTTCTCTGGTCTGTTGCCTCCTTTTTATAACACCTGGGAGTAAAATCCCTTGGCATTCTGGTAAAGGCTAAGATACTGAGCAAATGTGGAATATCGTGATTCAGATTCACTCTTCTGTGTTATGCAAAGGAGTCTTGAAGCCTTAGGCTTCAATGGCATATAATAAGTGAGAAAATAATAGCACATGGTTCTCCTAATTATATATATTATTATATATAATAGCACATATAATTATATTTATATAAAATATAATTATATATTTTATGTATGCATAAAAAATATAAATTTTAATTTAGTATACATAGAATATAATATTGTAAGTAATGATATATATATGATATACATATATGATTTATAATGAAATGAAATATGGTGGTGCAAGGCTTGATATGCAAGCAGGTAACCCCAGGCACCGGGTTGTGGCTAAAGTTTTAAAGAAAATTTATTTTAACAGTCAAGAATGTTGCAGTAGGTATCTGAACGATACACGTGCTTTATGGCCTGCCTGGCCCCCCAGGTGGGAGCCTCCAGGCACCTCTGTGAGAATTTTATGATTTGTAGCAAGGGAGTTCCCTCTCAGTAGACAGGTAAAGAGAACATACACAGCATCCTGCACAGGAACAAATTCCTTACTGCATTAAAGCTTTTCCCTGGCAGCAAAAGTTTCCTTGAACGAGTGATAAACTCTGTCTCCTCTCTATTTCTTCCAAAGATCTTCTGCTTATAGAGGTCAGTAGTTAATCCTTCTCCTACACTTCTGACTTCAGAAATTTACAACTTCTGCAAAGGAAAGTGTGTTGATTACATTTTAAATATTAATATTTTTGCTTCCTCTGTCAACTTTTAAAAGCATCAGTGTATTTAATGCAGCTGAAAATATAATGTGTGGGGTATATTAGGAGTTTTATTTTTCTAGCTCTCTGCATTTTTACATGAAATACAGTATTTCAAACCAATTTTATGAATTGGTTAGTTTGAAAGACTGAATAATTTGGGGAAGAAAAAGAGACCCCAGTTCTTAATTCTGCCCCTGTGTCAAGCTGCTCCTTGGTCTGAATGAGCTCAGCATCCCATCTCCCTCTGTGCCTAGAGGTGCCAATTTCTGACACAAGCCAGAAAATTTGCTTTGCTGACTCAGCTGGAGACTTATAGTAATAATCTACCCAGGAAAATGATGGATCACCCAACATGGGAAACTTTTAAGATTTAGCTGGACAATTTGCTGGGCCATCTTGTCAAGACTGTTTTTGCTGAGAAAGGTCCAACCTGGTATTTGTTGATTATTCGCGCTGTCTTGGAGAAACTGTTATCTCCACTCCAGTTTGGTTACTGGGTTTGAAAAAATCATCTTAAAATACTGTGACCATACATAGCTCTTTGGAGGTAAGTGTGAGCATCCCAAAGGCTTATCAGTACCATCCAATTACCACTGCTTCGGATCTTTGTGTCATAAATGCGTGCTTGAATTGTTCTATTTTCAACTAGGTCTCTCATATTTAAAAAAAAAAGGAAAACAAAAAAAAATTATTCAGCAATAGAAAGTATTAATAGCATTTGTCATCTCTTGCTCCAAAGGAGGCCTTTTGGCTCATGTATCTGTGCCTCCCCCATTTTTCTGTAATCTATTTTAATAATTGTTCCGTCTTTTGTTTTGTTCACAGCCTACATGCTGACGCACTACCAGTTTTGTTTCCAAAAGAGGAGTTCACAGAATTACACAGTGTCTGATCCAACTAGCCGTTCTGATGATCCTCACTGGACCATGTAGGTAAAATTCAAAAAACCCTTTACACTATATCTTTGAGAGTATTCAACATGTCGGGAAACAGCTGATTTTTGGCAACAGTGCTCACTTTGTAGAATCAGAGTCTTTTGGAATTTATAGACTATGGTATAACTTATTAAGTCCCTGCAACTTGTGATGTGTTTTATTGTCAATAGATGCTCAAAAGTAGACTGTCATATGTCACAATGTGTTTGGTTTTCTTGCTACATCTTTTTTAAGTAGTTGTGGGTGCTGGCAACACTGTGGTGCCTATCATTCCTGCAGTCATATCTGAGCTAACTTTAGTAGCAGCTGCAGCGGTGAAAATTTCAGCTTAGGCACAAATCCCAGCAGAGAAATGGATAAATTCCTAAGCAACTGTTAAAGCTTGAGTTTCTTGTTATTACAGCCACACGGGTAGCAGAATAAGAGCTAGCCAAATAAGAGCTAGCCTGAACAGGTTTACATGCATGAATCTCTATGTTTGCCTTAAGAAGAGCAGAGGAGTACCATGGTACTGGTAGTCAGAGCGATGCCTTTAGGTTATCTCTGTTGATTGTATTGAGCTTCTGCACAAACCTTCAAGTTTTCCATGAGTTTCAAACAAAATAAAAAATGTAGCCAATATTTCACCTTCAGGATTTCCCTGCAGAATAATTCAGTCTTGCTATAGAAGAGGTGGGAATCCAACAATTAAAATTCAATCTTTTGAAAAGTGTGTTTTTCCTTTTTGTTTTGATATTCTAGCTGCATTTACTTTCAACAAGTCTCCTCCCTCTGAGCTAGAAGACCTAGGCAAAGAACTAAATTGTTCTGATTAAATTGCCAGCATTCGTTATTTCTTGACTGCTTTCTCCCTTGTATGCTGTGCTGTTTTATGTCTCAATTGCAGCAGCATTTAAAATAATTTACATGAATTGGTAAGCTGCAGCATTTGTGTCTATATTACAGATGGTGTTTCTTTTACATTCCTTACACATTCAAAGTTCCGCCTTGGTTTTAATTTCTAATTTTGTGGAAATGAACTGTAAATTTGGATTTGTAACAGTAGTTTAGACGGCCTGTCTTTACACATGCATGCACACTCTTCTTACACAGAAAACAGCTCTCCTTGTATACTTGTTTTAGGGACCTTAACACTGACAGTTTATTGTGATTGTTTCTGGAGTTTCTTGAGATTTCAGTCACTCAGTTGTGTCTGGAGAAAGCTTCTAACCAAGTCATCTCAGGAAAGCATTTTAAGAGCATATACTGGCTGAATCGTATAGCTTCAATTTAAGAAGTGTCTCAGATGAATCCTGAAACAATGCTTACTTCTGTTTTTGTATCTCAAAATTATAACATGGTATATTTGCACACTGTTACTCTGTTGGCCATATTCAGTTACATTTGATTTTGCCTTTCATATTGTGTTGACCATATTCCAGCTTTAATTAGATGGTTTTTAAAGTATTTTGTGTAAGGTGAAAGGTTGTGGATTTGGGCCATTTTTTTTTCTTTAGATGGCAGCATTTCTATGAATAAAATACTAAACACACATAATTTTTCTGGTTTGGTAGTTAAAATTAAATTTAAATTGTCATAATTCATAAGTGGGTTGCTATTGGAGAAGAGATTCATATTCTCTACTGTAAGTATCCAAAATCTTTCCCAATTGTAACTGATGGGGAGGAAAGCAGTCCCAAAAGACATTTATTATGCTGGAGAGGGTATCACGTCTAAGGAGAATGCCTTAGTAGATATTAGCGGCACAACTATTCTTCTTCAGGAAATATCAGAGTACCTCAAAGGAACTGGAATTGAACTGTATTCAGTTTTAGTCTGAAAGGAAAGTAACAAAGAAAATACCTCAATTCATATAATTAACTTCTGCAAATTTTGTTACAGTCCACATCTGTCTTCCTGTATAAAAACTCATTATTTGTCACTTAGACAGTGATGTGACAGTGAGGAAACTATGAGCAAAAAATAAAGAGTTAGAGCACCAATTCATATAATCCATTTTCAGAAAAGCCATGGATTAATATCTGTTGTTTGGATTTTTTTCCTAATAATAAATTAATGTCATCAAAGCCATTCATGCAAACAAATAAAATGGTTTGCTTTAGATTTACACCACACTGTCATGCTACCTCTTAAGGGATTATAGCTATAAAGAAATAATAGAATAATTTTCTTTATTACCCACAAATGTGCAGTGCGTTAAACAGAATTTGTCGGTTCATCTGAATATGTTACATTAATTGAGAAAAACAGCATTGTCTTGCTTAGCAAAGGTACATTAGATAGACTGAGTTGTCAGAGTCTTAAAGTCTTGCCTCAAATACAAGGATAATGGTCACTATGACATACTTTTTTCATTTAATGCAAGTAATGTTTGTGCTTGAGGCCCATCTTTGCGAACGAAGATTTGGGGAAAGGTCTTTTACCTTTCCAGCCTGCGCAATGGATTTTTTAGGTGAGACACAGCCTGCGCTGAACTGAGCCCACCCTTTAATCCTAAGGTTCATCTGCCGGGGCCAAGCAAGCTTGGACAATGGCAGTGAGGTCCTCAGGACGTAGGTTTGTTTAGAGTTACCTTCTCATAGATGGATGGCCTCACAGGGCTAACGGGCTACCATCTGCCCGGGGGACTGGCTGGATTCGAACCTGGGTCGCAGAGGTGAGAGTCCTGCACGCTAACCACTAGGCCACCAGGGGTCCCCTTGTGCTTGAGTAGCTTTTAACAAAGTATAGATGTTTGCAAAGGTGATGGTACAGCTTGGCTCTGTAGTATATTCATAAGATTATTTAAAAAAAAAAAAAAAAAAAACAAGCCCAATGTGTTAGAATTAATTAATATTTGTTTCATGTAGTCATAAATTTGATTATAGATTTGGGGAAAGGTCTTTTACCTTTCCAGCCTGCGCAATGGATTTTTTTAGGTGAGACACAGCCTGCGCTGAACTGAGCCCACCCTTTAATCCTAAGGTTCATCTGCCGGGGCCAAGCAAGCTTGGACAATGGCAGTGAGGTCCTCAGGACATAGGTTTGTTTAGAGTGACCTTCTCATAGATGGATGGCCTCACAGGGCTAACGGGCTCCATCTGCCCGGGGAACTGGCTGGATTCGAACCTGGGTCGCAGAGGTGAGAGTCCTGCATGCTAACCACTAGGCCACCAGGGGTCCCCAAATTTGATTATAAATATTTTAATGGATTTAAATATCTACCTGAAACTTTCTGATATTGATAAAATCTACCAACTCCATCAGAAATTTAACTCCAGAGCATGATCTTTGTTTTATAGTTACACAGAAATATTATCCCTTGAAAACAGATTCAAGCTCTTAATCTAAAGCTAGCGAGAACTAGTATTTTAATTTATTTATCTATTTATTTATTTATAGTCTGTGGTAGTAGGTTAGAGCAGAAGAGTAGCTTTGATAAAAGAAAGAAACAATTCAAAGCACTTGTTATCTGTCTCACAGCTGTCATGAGTTCATGCTGTAAGCAGTTGCACAGTCAGCTAAATCTTACGCTGCTTACTTGCCTGGTCCCTTTGAAGTGACTTGGAGTGACGTTATTTGAGGAGAAGCATCACAGCTTAGACTATTGTGTATCTGTGGCTGGAGCGTTGAACTCATGGTTCATCCAGGAGGATTAGGTACTATTATGCTTTAAAAAGATGATTAATGGCCAAAATTCATTTTCTAGAGGCAGTTTCCTCTTCGTGTCTAGTTATTTAACCAACTCTATGCGGTAGCTATTAAAGGTGAGGAGAGCATTCCATTTATTCGTTCACAGTTGTAGCAATTTTGATTTCTTGGAGGAGAAAAGTGACACAAACTAGGCATTTGTAATTTGCATCATGAAAGAAAGTGTACTTTTTATACTAGAATTAAATTTTTAAGGATTTATTATTTAAATGAAAGATGGAAATATTTATGTATTTAAATTTGAGTATACAAAATATAATTACTCCCAGCTGAAACTTCCTCTAGGGTATAGCGTGAACAATTATTCTTTCATTATGTGCATTAAAAACTCAAGTGAAGTGATTATGGCCGAGTTCCATTCCCTCTGAAAAAACATAACTTTTATCAACAAAGATCTTTCAATAACTTCTTTTGGAGGAATGACCATTAGTTTGCAGAACAACAAATTTCTATTTCCTCTGGCATTTTAAAAAATCTTGGGTTTTCTTGTCACGCACTTCACCAGACAGATCATGTTTAACTTGTGAGGACTGACTAGTTTGCAGCTGTAGGTGGTATGTGAGATACAGACTTCAGGAAGAGCATGATTTCCATAACCACTTCAAAGGAAATACATTATAAACAAAGTACATTTCTCTGGGGGCTTGCAAAACCATTCTGTTTATAATTTAAATTACATTAAGCTAAATAAAATAGTACAACAAAACCCTCAAGAGAAAAATACTTCATTTAAGTTTGAACATTACATTACTTCCATTATTTGGAAGTATTTTACTCTCTCTGTAATAGTTTATTTTTCATTGAATATATATAATTAAAAGTATTGTCATTACAACAGCATTTCTTTCCCCTTTTGTGTTCCAAGCCCTTCTGTTCAGTAGATCACTATAGTTTTATTTGCCTGCATTCCTTCATTTCTCACGGCTTTCTTACGGGTGACTTACCCGTGCCAGACGATTACCATTGTTGTGTCATGCATGTTCAAATTTATCAAACTCATACTAGAACTGAGTCTCTCAACCAGCCTGAAGTTTTTTGGCAAAATAAAGTGGCAAAAAAGTGGAGAGAGTGAAGCTTTCTTCTGTTGGAATATTTTTTAAAGTCTGCTCATCCAAACTATGCTGCTTGCTTCTTCCAAAGTGCTTGCAGGACTAACTTGATCATAGACTTGCAACACAAGCAACAGAATCCATTAGCCTCCCTATTCTATAAAGGCAACTTGGAGGCAGAGGGGGAACCTGATAGGATATGACTATAATATGTCTTCCAGGAGAGGATGACTAAGAAAGTCTTGTAAAACCTC